CCCAGAACATTATACTGAACGGATGCTTGACAGCACTTACTGCTAAATTCAAAGAGCTTTCAAAGCTTCTTCTTCGGATTTTAGATGGAATCTTACAGCATAAGATACATGTATTCGACGTATGAGGGTCAAGCAGCTGAATTCCTAGGAACCGACAGCCAGACACCAGCCCATGAGATTTGATTATAGTGGTGAAGGTTTTGTGCAGAACCATCTACACTTTTTGAAGGGCCGAATACAGAGACCTGGTGCACTACGTGCCACAAGGTCCCCAAACGACCCTCCGCAGGTTTTGAATTCGGAATTGTCCTTCTCCTAAACCTGTTGCCATCTAAGGCAACCCAGTCTGTTCTGCTAAAAGAGGAGGATTCATACCTTTCCCAAGGGTATTAGCCCGTAAGTGAATGTAATGTAATTCCAACTCGGCTCTCCCGATTCCTCAATCCAAGTCACTGTCCATTACTCCACCGTGCCTCTATATATATATATATATATATATATATATATATATATATATATATATATATATATATATATATACGCTCAAAAATGTACAAATGTTTCTTCAGGATTGAAGGTGACGAACTGGGACAGCATATTCATCGTATACACCAATAGCATTTTGGCTAAGCTACATTCCTGGCTGCCAACTTAGCTTCTGTTATGAAGCCTTTTCTTTCACGTCGTTCTCCTCTTCACGTTATTAATAATGAGCAGTGAATTCGTCTTACAACTGATTCGCTCGCTCTTACAATTTTTCTCTTGTGTATGAAGTTGAAAAATACATTTTCTTAATTTAGAAGTAGAAAACTGCCGTCTAAAATTCCAAATGATAAGTAAACATTAGTACGATTGTCTATTATTCTTCTTTGGAGTCTTCAGAATTACACATCTCGTGGACATTTTCAAACCGTTCCTGAAGATTCTTCCGCATGTAACTATCGGCCCTGTTATCATTATCATCACAAAATAAAAGTGGCTGTTGTAATAATAAAAATTATAAACTAACAATGCTATCTTTCACTGGGCAACCTCGTGGTCCCAGTGAAAGGATTAACAATTTTGAGTAAGCATGAAAGTTGAAACAATGATGACTTTAAATGTAGATACGTTTATTTATGATGCAAAATTCAGTTGCGATTTGAAAAACAGCAACCATTGCACGTGTATTTTTTCTGGAAATTTCTGAAAAACTTGATCTCATTTACCGTAAGATCGTGTGTGGTGTGTGTGTTGATAGTTCCTTCACTCTGTTTTTAACTTAGTTTAGCCACGGGACAAATGAAGATTGGGTATATTTTTAAAGAAAAAATGTAGAAGAATTAAGCGAACTTGATTTACTTAAATTCAATGAACAACAAAAAATCAAAGACAAAGAGAGTGAAACAGCTAAAAATACGACTAAAAAAAAAACAGTATAAGAATTTAAACTTATTAAGCCGTCAAGGAATATTTTTATCTAAATATCCATCCTATTATGAAAATAAACGTCGAAATCCTTTGGGATCGATACCTATAGACAGGAAATGTTATAATGAGAAAAATCAAAGTCTGTGCTGGCAAATAACATTCGAAGAAATTGTTTAATTATGACGTAATTATGAATTAAGTGTGCGCATGGCATAGCGGTTTTCGGCTCGGAAAGTGGATCAAATTCCGACTGTGTTTACTTTCGCGCGAAATGAAATGTATGGGTCCATCTCTTCTCTCCTACAAGTACAGTTAAATAGCACAGTCGACTGGGCGTGGTTGGCAACCAGTCTATGAGATAGATAACTGAATTCAAAATAAATTACCACGTTGATAAATCCACCCAGTAAAAACCTACATGCTACATGTTCGGTGAGGCTGTGGAAGTTTAATAGTAGAAAGTAGGAGTTATGAAAATTAACATTTTTTTAATTAAACTTGATATGTTGGGTATTATATGTTCCTAAAAGTTGTTTTAAAAAACATTTTATAAATCTCGACAGGCAATCGGAAAGGACGGAGATTCATCGTAATTATCCTGAGCGATTCTGTTAATCGTTTAACGTGATTTCATTTTACGCGATTTCGTTTTACGCGAGTCAAAATTGGGTACGTATTAATCACGTAAAGCGTAGTTTGCCTGTATAAAATGAAATTGGTTTTCCAGTGACAAGATTATAAATCTGCACCCCACTGCGTGGAGTGTGTTCTTTTAATGACACTTAGACTCTGTAGACCACCCAGAAAACTTCAAACCCCAAACCTGGGGTCACTTAAGTAATTGGAAACCGATAAATAAATAACTAAATAGATATTTTCCACTTCTCTGAATTCCCTTCTATCGAGATAAAAATTTCGCAAAAGAAGCTAGGCAAATGTTGAATGCACCAGTAAAAATTGTAGCCTAGATGGATTATTTATACAGCATATTGTGTGTGTGTGTGTGTGTGTGTGTGTGTGTGTGTGTGTGTGTGTGTGTGTGTGTGTGTGTGTGTGTGTGTGTGTGTGATATTATACATGCAGCTTTGGTTGTCAGCTGGTTGTAGAATTTACCCATCGTAAGAAATAGTTTCCTTTGCAAAGTAGAAAAAAGTTATCAATAGTTGAAAACAGAAAGACTTCATTATGATTTCAAAAGCTGTTGTTTCTTAGAGTTCAATTACAAATATTAATAAAATAACGTGTCCAACAGTCAATCTGGCTGTTGGTCTGTACTTACTAATGAATTGCCTGAAATACTACAGATATATGTTTGATCTCTATCGTCATGACTATCCTATCGATTACTTGTAAAAACATTCAATACTCCAAATAGTTTGCTTATTTGTATATGAAAAAAAAACAGGAAAATGCCGACGTGATATCAAACTGATCATGTCTTTATCTAAATGATAATTTCTTCTTTTTTTATATTTATTTTAATGCATATATCTCAGTGTGGTTTTCGTATGCACGTGAACTTTAAATTACATTATTGCTTATCGAAAAGGTTTAATTAGCGTAACGTTATAATGTTAGCTCGAAAGAAAAATCATCGAGAGAAAAAATTGCAAAAATGTTTAGAGATATCGAGACTTTCAAAATAGTATTTTCGTATCAGCTCCCCTTGATCTCAACTTTCATTGATCCTGATTCCAACCAAACAATTTATTATACTAGACACTGTTTTATTGCAAGTAAAAGATGTCTTAGTTTTAGGATAGTGGGCTGAAACTGAGTTAAATAATTTTGTTAATAATTTTCTCTTCTTATGAAACTTCTAAGGTTCAATGTATTTTAATTATAATCTAAAGTGCTAGATAAAGTATGAACATTTCTAAACTTTTAAAAAGTAATTACGATATTGATTATAGTGATTATTTAAAAAAAGAATTAAGAAAAATACTACCTTTAGATAGCCTAAAATACACCAGAGATTTTAGGTAAGGAATTCACAAGAATTACAATCTAAATTCTCTAAGCTATAAAAACTTATTTGGTCATTGTTGAAAAAGTGTGTGAAGTTGTGTATATGCAATTTTATTTATTTTATGGCAAGCGATCATTTTTTTTTTATTTTGGTTTTTTAATTGTTTTGTTCTGTTTTTCGCCCTAAACAATTTTCGCCCTAAACAATTTTCGCTTTACTTTTTATTTTTTTTTACTACAGTTTTAGCTGTTGTTATTGAATAAATATGGTTTCTCAAAAAAAAAAAAACAGGCTTTCAAATGTTTTTGATTTTATGACGAGTGATTAGAAATCTCCTTAACTATTCTTTTATTATCTTAGAAATTGACAAATACCCTTTTTTATCTAAATTTTCAAGTAAATAATGCATTTATCAAGTATATTCCCTACTAGCATAAATATCTTGATATATCAGTCACTAATGAAAATTGCATTTATTTAAATAACCTCTTTATTGCCAATGCACTTAAATCACTATTGAATATTAATCGCAGAGATTAAACATCAAGCAATGAATATTTCCTATTAAAATTCGGTTAATAACTTTCTCAGCCTTACGGGTTTATTGGCCTGTCGTCTTATTCGCCAACGAGAAGGATCTACCTAATAACGTTAACGTCTTCAAGCTCTTCAAGTGAACTATCAAATAATTTACTTTACGTCTTCCTATATCAACAGGAACATCAAAGTAACATGAAACTGGATTTTTCCGAACAGTAAAAAAAGGACAGTCAACATATAAAAGGAAAAATTCCAGAGTTTAAAACATGAAGAAAATAAATCAAAGTCGGCCTCACTGTTAGTGTTAATCAGAGTTTTTCTCTGTTTAGATAATAATTTAACCAAAAAATATTGATGAATGCAAATTTTTATATCACTGCAAATTAAATTTTTTTTGCGGATAGGGAGGATATTATGCAAATCGGTAATATTTTCAACATTCGATCATCAGTTTCGATAAAACATGAAAAAAGACGTAAATAATAAACATGGCATGTTTTCTTTCTCGTTATCAAAAACTTTACACATCCATAACAAAAATTGAAATAAGTATTTTTATTTTTTAATTAAAATCTGAAAATTTCCCCATGTGTATAATAAAGGCTTTTACCTATCTACTGCCAAATTACTTACTTACTAAAAGAATCACATTATAAGCTTGTTTTATTTTGCGAAGGAAGTTTACCTAATCATATAAGTAAGGAAAATATCCTACAAAAATATCATTATTAAATAATTTTTTCAATGAAAATTATAATGAACTTATTATTGTTACTGCATGTGCTCTGATAAGTGCATAACAGCTGCGATCTGTCGTTCAGGGTCAAACACTCTGTTTATCTTTGTAATAGTTGCTTTGTTTCCTTGTGCATCGTGAAAATCTTAAGTTATATGATATGCAGCTTGCATGTTTGTGATTTTAATTTTTAAAAATGATTGCTTTGAATATTTCTCATCATAACTGCGTCATCTTTTTTCTTGTTATATTTTTTAACCTCTTATTTAACTTTTATTTTTATCTTGTCTTTTGTAGTTGGGTACCTGCGGCTAATCAGGTTCCAGGACGCCACGATTCACATAGTCAACTTGGAAACGGATCATGGTCGATGGATTTGCCACAAGGAATACTTAAACAAAGTTCTTCGGGACTGACCCCACATGAATCAAGTCCCAAGAATGCAGTCAGTAGTGGAAGCACACCAACCGAAATTGGAAATGGAAGTGACGTCGGTTCGGACAATATGACAAGTGTTTCAGCAACCGGAATTGGCAGCCGGTCGTCCCTCGTGAAAAAAAAAGTAGTACATTCTCTACCCAAAAATAATACAGTGTTACGTTATGATCCGTCCACAGGCCTCACAGAGGCTGTGATTGTGGGATCGGAGGATGAAGACGAGAAACGGGACGCTCCCAATGGGGATTCAGGTTAGTGAAGAATAATAGCTCGAATGGGAATTATACTACCAATAAAAGGTCATTGGTTCGTTGACATCCTTTTGTTTGATGACGTCATTCGATTAAAAAGGAAATTCAATTAAATCTCTGCTTTCTTACCCTAGTCCTTAATCTGCTTAATTTTTTAAGCCTAAAATGAATCATACAATTAATGTTTATTACTTTTCATCTAGACTGAAACAGTATTCTCCAAAAATACTTCCAAAAATATTTCAAATCGTCATTTTAAAATTTCAGTCTGTTTTGCTATTAAATATCTCATCTCTATCATTGATTTTCCTCTGATGAAATCAATGATATTTAAAAAGATATTTTTCTACATGAGCAAAATCGGACTTTATTTTTCTACTATTTTACACTTTACCTAACACCAATCTTTGCCATTTTAAATAAATATACACTTTTTAAAACATGACATCAACAGTAAATCACCTATGGTCGAAAATAGTTCCATTTAAGATTTTACTGTATCAGTAAATTCTTAAACTATTTTCGACTTTAGTTCTAAAAACAAACTCGAGAAAATCAATGACAGAATAATATTATTATATTTACTTTATTTATTTTAAATAATAAGTTTCAACATATTTGTTCGTTAAGGTGAAACATCAATGAATGTAATTAAAATACGCAATATTAGTAACGAAGTTATTCATGAATGGTTAGCGAAAGTTTTCTATTTAAGCGAAATTCTTGGTAAGTATGGGCGTGTACATGTGTCCGTATGTTTTTGTATACTTACTTATTTTTACGTTAAAATGTGTATTTTATTGTAAATTTACTACAGCTGGATATAAATTTACTACGCAGATTACGATTGGATATAAATGAATTATCAATTATTTTGTTTGAATTAGTGTTTGAATTGTTGATTTTTTCCAAATTAAACAACATGGCAGATTTCAGAGAGTAAATATCTGGGACCGTTTCAGAGGACAGTGAACTGGATGAATTTAATTTTTTCAATGTTTTTAATTTTTCTCTATCAAACTAAAGAACATTGAAAACGTTTTACTATATATTACAATTAATACAACTTGTGAATATATATATATATATATATATATATATATATATATATATATATATATATATATATATATATATATATATATATATATACGATTATTTATATAATAGGTTGATGCGAAGGTTTTAACAATTTTCAACAAACAAAATTATATAAAATCATGCAATCCATTTTCCATACTTATCTATTTACTTTCTGAAGTCTATATTCTATCATAAAGTAACGGTTCTACTTTTGATTTGATGAATTCTTCAAGAATATCTTTCGATATCATTAAATTGTTAAAACTGCTGATTATACCGGGTTATGAAGTGAAATATAAGATGACAATGCTGGGGGAGATAACTGGATATGGATGAACTTCCCAAACTCATGACACTTTGCTGCGTCGTATTTACCGCATGAAGTACGGCATTGTATTTATCGGTGGAGCTGGGAACTTCTGCATAATATGTCGTGTGTGTGTGTGTGTGTGTGTGTGTGTGTGTACGTGTGTGTACGCATGTATACATGCTGTACATGTACATACGCTATTTTTACGTGTAATGTTATTTTGTCCGACAAAATTTCACTAAATATCTACAACAGACGCATAACAGACGCACACAAGCACACAATTACAACGATCTCTTCCCACTAACATTAATATGATTATCCTGATATATCTGTAAATGTATATGAAGTCTCAATAATTTATTGAAAAAATTAATTATATAAATTGCACAAATAACTTTGCATTTATAGCTAATACAGAAAAGCCTATGAGTGCCACTGTTCATTTCTTGAACAAAGACATAGATGTGTGGAAATATATATTGGCCAATGTGTTCGTTTATGTCCAAGTTAAGGTAATTTGACCTAATCATTAACAGTGTTATTCTTTCTCCACGTTTTCACATAGGACACAAGAATTTTATGCTTAATTATTTTATAGCTATTACATTGTAGTCAAAGTGATCAGTTTTATCACGCGGGATTTTTCGCAAGAAAGTACTAGAGTGAAATAAATTCTCAATCAGTTTTAACACAAAACTTACCCCGAATGTATTTATCCGGATCACAAAACCTGATATAAAATGAGTTTAACAAATTATTGTAATTTACAGACATGAAACTATCCCTTACAATTTCTGAAGTTTAAATTTAAAAACGGCAACAATTCTTAAATTCTATGAACTGTTCAAAAACCAGCAGTGATTGGGTGCAGTTACAAATTTCAGATTAAATTATTCTTCCAGTGAATTTATTTGATTAAAATGATGCCATATGCAAAATTCTTTAAGCATATATATATATATATATATATATATATATATATATATATATATATATATATATATATATATATATAAGAGGAAAGCGAGAAAACAGGTGGAGGAGATATCGTTGTGTAATAATTAGTAAACTGGTCTCATAGTTTGCTACTGTTACTATTGAGTTGCAAATTCGATCCTCACTGGTCGACCTGGCTTGTAACCTTGTGTGCAACTTTGTGTTGAAGTTAAAGTTAATTTATGCATATATACATACACATACACACATAGATAGATAGATAGATAGATAGATAGATAGATAGATAGATAGATAGATATAATTGCTTGTATCATTTGTACATAATGGTAGCACAATTTTATCTATGAAATTTAATCTTTTTTTCTGTTTAAGAATGAATCTATTTGAAAGAAAATCAGTCACATGAAATCCGAGAAGCAAACCGAGTATAGATAATGATCTCTTCATCCTAAGGCACTGATTAGGGTTTAGGTTTCGGCAGAGGCCATCAGTGTCAAGACTGTATCAAAACAATTCAACTAAAACTGAACATCTTTAAACCATGTGAAACTAGAGATGAAAGATGAGTAAAAGTAATTCTTCGATTATTCATCTCATAACACAATTAGCGATCAAAATATTATTTTCTCTAAATACATCATATCTGACATGCTACCGTAATATAAATGACATAAAAATGAATGTTTTCGTCCTTGTTGGTGGCTAAGGTAGTAATGTATTTCATAACGACATTCCATATCAACAGAGGTTGAACACTGATAAGGAATGTCATTATGAAATACAATAATAATTAATAGAATTAATAATTAAAAAGCAGGATTTTGAATGTTGATTTTCAATGTTCTGTCCATTTGACACGACCTAATCGTCCTTTTCTTATATCCACCATCTGGTCTCGTGCTGTACGAAATATGACACTGTACGAATGATGAAAAATAATTGAAGATACTGACTTGAATCTTTTGTCTTATTTGTCTTTGTAATCTTTTTTTCGGTTCTTCTTATTCGGGCAAGTTTTCTCTTCAAAATGTTCATCTTGTTCGTCTGAAATGCCATTTCTTCTATATTTTACTTGTTTCCAATTTACATATTAGAGGTTTAGAATTTGCTGGAAACATTATACATTGATATGCCAAAAGACATGTAATAGTAATGTTAGGAGGCGCCACCATACATTGACGTTTTGGAAATACTCAAACCTATATTTAGGGAATCTAGCGGAACACTGGCTAGGCTGCTCGGGGACAGGCGACTTGAATTATCAGACTTTGAATGGTTCATGATAATGAACGCTAGACGGATGGTATATTCTATTTAAGAAATTGCACTGGATGCGGCATAAATGTTTATCTATTATTTAAACATGAAGACATACCCATTATTTAAACATAAATTGGAAGATACCTTTCAAATTTTGCATAGGGCTTTCTGACATTCTTTTGTTTTACTGTTTACAGTTTAATTAAATATGTTGGCTCAAAAAACCGGGACCAAATTGTCGCATGGAAAATGGCTGGTATGAAAAACTGTGAGATGATGAAACAGTTTAATCGTTGCAGAAAAACATTTTTTCAATGTGTGGAAAGGATTTCAAGAGGAGCAAACAATCTCACCAAATCCAATTCCAGAAAGAAACCATCCAGATTGTACCAGGAGAATCATTGAAATCGTGAAGAAGAGGATGAAGAGAAATCTACGAAGTGGGAGATGGCAAAAGAGTTTGCTATTTCGCATAGATCGCTACAGATGATTGAAAAGAGAATTTAGAGCTAAAAGCATAGAAGATTCAATGACGACAGCGTCTCTCAAGTGCCTCCAAGCAAAAAAGGCTTGGCAGAGAGAAGAAAATGTTAGATGAGATGCAGCGTTACACAGTCATCATTTGGTCGGATGAGAAGTTTTTCACAGTGGAGGCTGTCGCCAACTACCACTTCACCAGGAAACATTCCCGAAGGTATCAGAACACATTTCAAGCGACAGAAATCAACTGGTGTCATGGTCTAGACTGCTGTTGTTTCGAAATTACCCTTGGGCTCATTGAAGAAGAGTGATAGTGCATAGCAGAGGTTTCTAACCAATGTTGGAGAAATGTGTTATGCTGTCTGTCACCCACAATTGGAAATCGCCATGTCTTCATACAAGATGGAGTTCCCCACACACGGCCAATTTGACACAGAACTGATTCATTCGATATTTCGATGGAGATTTTGACAAGTCAATTTAGCTACCATCAAGCCCTGACATTAAACCTATAGCCCATATTGGAGAGTTATGTTTCACGTATCTCATAATCAATGTGTCAGACCTGAATGAAGCTCTTATGACGTCGTCGTACATTTTGAGTATAGAGGTGGTGAAGAAGTCAAACACTTCAGTTTAGTTAAGATTAAGGGCTGCGGTGAAACCAAAGGGTAGCCATTTTCAATTGTAAATATATGTAAAATAGTGTCAATAAATATAACAACCTGCAAACTTTCATTAACCAAACTCTAAAACATTTTACTTTATGTTAAAAATGAATAATGAGTAAATGTGTATGTATATGCCGCACTCGGTAGAGACATTAAACATCTTTCAATCTACGATGTCATGTGTGTAGTGGGAATACTCGTTGGAAAGTATTACCGCCCACCGATGTCAACAGTCTCTGACTACGCAGTCCTTAATGATCGTGACCAGAGGCGTCTGACGAGAAATACTTGTGTTAACACTGGCTCAAATCATATCCACGTTCAATGCAGGAGTTACCAGACGCATATCCAGCAGGTCAGTTCGGCGTTCTTTAGCTTCCGTGGAGCAGAAAAACCACCAGAGTGTCCCATGTTAACACCACGACACCAGAAACACCGCTTCAACTGGGCTCGTGACATCACTAATTGGACCCTGGAGGAATGACAACGTAGGGCGTGGCAGGATGAGTCACGGTTCCAGTTGTTTCGGGCTGCTAGTAGGGCTTGGGTGTTATCATATTTTTTTTAAATACTTAATGCCTTTACTGTATTTGAATATTAAATTATTTTATTTACCTTCGTTCAAATGAAATCTCTCTTTTTCCTTTTATCATTCATAATATCCATATTTGTTCGCTTTCATTAAATTGCTATGCAAACATTTCACAACATATTTTTTATATATAACAAATGAATACTCTCTAACATTTTCTCTCTAACACTTCTCTATACATCCCCATTTTATCTTTATTTCTTCTTTCTCTGTGTCCATCCCTCTCTTTCTCTCTCTTCTTTCTATCCATCTATCTATCTCTCTCTCTCTCTCTCTCTCTCTCTCTCTCTCTCTCTCTCTCTCTCTCACACTTTCGCACGCACACACGCACACACATTTTCTACTGGGAGTTCCTTATGTTAAAATGTTTCTCTCGGAAATACTTCCATCTGGACGTTGTGAATTCACAAATCATATCATTTCTGTTTCATGACTAAAACAAGTATAAGTAAAATTTGATGTTGTTATAGGGTAAAATTACTTCTTTGCCAGGACTTTCCTCAATGATCATTGTCTATTTCGTTTGCAAACAAGAGAAAGTTTGTAAAAAACTGAGCGTGACATAAAAGAGTAGAAAACTTATAGCATTTGAACTTCAGCTTTGAATATACGATCTGCTTCGAATAGCCTTATTACCGGAAACACTAACATGCGGCATACCTCGTAAGCCCACTTGACTGTCTAACTAAAAGAAGAAAAGTCCAACAGAAAACTTACGACATCCGTCTAATATGAGTATCGTCAGTCATCGATAGACATGTATAATCTTCTACATCATTGTCTGTGAAACGAATGATCGAATATATTCTGTTATTTTTTTACTGTAATTAAGCAGATGTCTAAAACTTTCATAAAGTTATTGAAGGAAACAGCATCAATATGCCTTACATGGCGTGATTCTCTAATTCGAAGACTTCATTCGCACAGTCTTGTAACAAATACTGGATGTTCCAGTAACATATGCATAATAGCAAAACGCACACAGAGTTTGTTTGTTTGCATTCTATATAAACATTCAATACAGACACATGGCAGACTGATTCTTAACCTTTGTTTCTCGCCGATATTTTATTTTTGAATGGTCTATTCAAATTCGACAAGCAGCCAACCGACCATTCGTTCTTACCCGCTATTGTCCTTGTCTCCAGGGTCCATAATTCACTCTTGTCATTCGGCAGCTGATGATAAATGATTATCGAACCACAAAGAAGCGATGCGTATGGGACAGACGATTAATTGTATAACGTCAGAGCAAAACGAACGTTAGTCTTAAAATAAGAATCAAGCTATCGAATAATAATGGGTCAAATCGCATCGCACCTTTGGAAAACATCAAGAACAAGAAAACATAGATTTAATTGGTTGAAGCTTAAAGAAGAGGAAAAACAAAAATAAATGTCTGGAAAGCAAAATAAATAAAATGAAATTCGTTAACAACAAATTCTCTTATAAATAATGCTGTCTTAACAGAAGAAATAGATAAAATATGTCACTGAAGAAATAATAACGCGAATCATAAAAATGCATAAATATAAACTAAAGCTTACTAGAGTTGTTAATAATTTTAGTAAGTGTTAATTCATTGTTCCTCGTCAAAAATGTCTAATTTTTTACAAAATTTGACCTCAAGGTTGAAAGTTCTATAGCTTATTACTGAAGCCCAAATTGACTTCTAGTAAAAGAAATGGTGAAAGTAGCAAAAATTATTTTCGATATACGTCAGTAGCGCAAAGATTTTGTATTGAAGTTGTTATAACAATGTCGACAGCTGTGGCAGAAATTGGAAGATAAATCAAAGCATTTCTCATTACCGTTGCAGATGATGGAGGGGCGGGAACGAAGCACAGAGTTAACTCGGTGCATTAGAATGGGGAAAGGAATAGTTACTGACTGCTTCTTTTTTAATACCTAAAAAAAACGACCGTGTGTGCGCTTATATTTTAGTAAGGTCTCTTGTGACGCTTACAAAACAGAGGTGAATAAAACTCCATGTTCTCTTGAACAAATCCGTGATATCGAAAAGATGAAATCGTGTTGGTCAATAAAGTGTGAATGTGTTCGGTGAGGGTAATTATGATTATTATGGTTTTCATTTTTCATAGCAATTATCCTTCATAACAATGACGATGCTGCTGACTACGCGAGATGAAATTATATTACTGCCTTTTATTCAGCACATAACATTAATGTTATATTGAGTCTCTACAGTTTTCTCTATGATATTGATTGGTTTACGCTTTTAGCTATCAGGTAAATTTGAGACTTGTAAATAAAAGAAATTAGACCATAATAGAAATACACCCATGCACATATATCTATATAGAGAGAGGAAAAAAGATAGAAGTGGACGATGTTTCTTTTGAGCTGCTGGCTCAATAGTAAAGCATTGCTTTTTACTTGCATTATTTACATTATTCGGATTGTTATCCTCATCTTCATTCCATATTCACAACGTCTCAGTTGTTGTACGCTCCGGCCCTCTTCAGGCGATTGGAATTTCGAACTGAACCCTTTATTTTGTCCACCGGGGTAGATTGTTCTAGTTCCACGTGCCATGCCTCTTCTGGATGTCTCAGTTATTTCCCTTTAATTCACCTCTCCAAGATTTTTGGTTCACCACCGTTGTAGCTGTATTGAAATCACAACCCTTTGGGTCTAATCACTGGATCTAACCAACGTCTTTATCCACTGGTTCAAAATTCCAATCACCTGAAGAAGACTGGAGCGTAGAACGGCCAAAACGTTGTGAATATGGCAATGAAGATGAAGATAACAGTACTAATAATGTGAATAATGTAAGTAATCATAATACCTCATATCAGAAATATATAGACAGGCACTGCTTTCTAGTATTATAATTTCAGACAAACGTCAAGGCATTTCATCTAAAAATTAACTTGAGATTTTTTTTGAAAATATCTCAAAAGAATAGACCTTTATTTGTCTCAATAATGATAGATTTTTAATAACATTCAAGTAAAATTGACGTCCTTTTACATTGACAGTGGGCAATTATTATTTATATTAAACAAATGTAACAGTTTCATTTACAATATAATTTCCAGGTTATGCAATAATTAGGTACATACATGAAAATTATAGGAAGTAAATGGGAAAAAATGGGAAATTGTATACAGTGGTTCAAAAAGGACCTTCATTTTTTACTTTATGTGCATGATAATATAATAGTATATAATGATCCTCGATGCAAACACAAAAAGAACTCGCTCAAATTTAAAATTATTGAAGCTAATTAAGTAGTCACCAGGAAGCAAGAAATAACTTCAGCATTATAATTCATCTTGATTTCAAGATTTTATAATCTTCAATATACTTTCTGCCTTTCTGTACGGGTAGCGAAACGGTTATCGGTTCAGAAATTGGAATCAGTAGACCGAGTTCACATTCTGGTAGAAGTTGTTGCATTTACTTTCGCACTGATGCTCTTGGAAAAAGAAATGAATCCACATCTTCCCCACTTTTCTATGAGTTAAATAACAAGATAGACAATTCTCTCTAACCTTGGGGGCAACGAGTCTAACAGTAAGACTACTTTGAATTCAAAACTGTGGGTGGGTAACAGTGGGGATACTTCTCTTTCTCACCTTTCCAAGAATAGTTTAAGTTAAAGATTATGGAACTGGAACCATCTCTTCCACCTTATTGTTTGTAAAATTCTGTTTAGATTTCAAAATATTAATCTTCCAGCTTTATATCATGATTCAACGGTAAACCTTTTATACTTCATACTAACTGCAGTTCTTATATCGATTTCTTTTTCTCTTCGAAACAAAATTCTCGTGCTAAAAATCAAATATAATCCCAACTGATTAAATACAATAATCATCATAGATACTCCATCATTTTTTCAATTAGATATTTCCTACACGATTTGAATTATAATATGAACTATTAATTTTACTCTATTAATAGTAAGCGGGTATCGTCCATATATATCAATTTAGTAACATCATTAGAACAATTCTCGAATAAATTCTGTATATAATTTCTGCTTCTAAAACATTTATTCATGGGGCGCTTAAATTACTCGATGCAGAATAAGACTTTATCGTGTCTGTTTTTGCTTCTATCAACTTTTATTTTGCCCGCAAAAATGACACAGTTGCAAAAGTTTGTACTTTATTGCAATCAAACATTTTTTTTTATGTTCACATTGTCTCTTGTCAAAATTCATTAGTAAAGTCTTTCCCGTAATTAAGAAATTTCTCAATACTTTTCATGCTCTTAAGCTTCGTGGAATTTCTATTTCTTTTTTATTGTTATTCTAAATTTTTAATAACTGAATTGCAGAAATGTTTACAGGAATCAAATAATATTCTACAATTTCTCTCTAGAATGAATTTCAATTAAACTAAAATTGGAGATCATTCCCATAATTCATTTGTTTGCAGTTCTTTTTATTGATACGTTGATTTATGTTTCTTCTTAATCTTTTTTCATGTATATATCTGATATTTTGTTCAATTTTAATGTTTTAATAATCTTGGGTATCAATCTATTGCGGAGTCACTTTCATAATGCCATTGTTATTTTTACTCACACTACTGCCGAAAGCTTACGGCTATGTCACGTTGAAACACCGGTTCTCGTACGATGGCCGAAGTTAAGCAACGTCGAGCCTGGTCAGTACCTAGATGGATGACCACTTGACGATATCAAGTACCGTAAGCTTGAATGTGCGAGTGGTGTAATGAATAACGGTTCGGAATTGGAAATCAGAGAGCCGTGTTCAAATTCCACCCGGGTTCGTTATATTCAGTAGGGAAAGATATGAATTCACTTCTTCTCCCTCCAGTTATGGGTTAATTAGTAGAGCATGTATCACTAAATCATTATTATCTAAATCATTATTCTTACAATTTAAAAATAATTTCCGGCTTTAAATAATCTGCCGAAAGTTTGATAGCCGTAAAAAAAAAAAATCAATCAACTACTGCTCAAAGTGGTCAAATGATTTATTATAAAATTCATAAAAGATGTTTACAAATGATCATTTTAACAGTTAACCGTTGTATGTGTGTGTGTGTGTGTGTGTGCGCGCGTATGAGTGTGTGTGTCTAAAAGACAGTAGGAATGATTAACTTTGATCCTGGATTGTTGTTACTGTTCATCCAAAAGCTTATAATAATTTACTTTAATTGATTTCGTCCTAATTAAATGCATAAGGAAAGTCAATTCATTAAAACTATGGGATTTATCGCAAGAGATGATAAAATAAAGAACAATGTGTGAAACAGATGGGAATCCGGCCCTGCACAGCTGGTCTGAAAATTAATTTCAGTCTTGATTTTCTTCATCTGCGTCTCACCCCTCAACTCAATCAACTTTTCTTTACCGTTTCTCTTTTTTCCTTTCTTTTCTCTTCGCTTTTTCTTTTCCTCGTCACAACAGTCGTTATCGTGAATCGTATCTAAGATATTAACTGAATTTTGATCTGGATTTTCAATGTATAATAATTGATCTATATGATGAACAGAACGTTGGATTGAGTGCATTAATTAAAAAAACGGGATTATGTTGAAAAATTAATCTTTTTTCTTTAAAATACATCTTTGTTATTATGCCACGGAATTATTGACATAACTACGTACTTTTAAGAAAAGACTGAAGCCAGAAATTAACAGCTATGCGAATTCAATATTCTTTTCTCATCTTTCAAATTTACATTCACTCCTAATCACTGTTTGACTCTCATTGAATACTTATTTACTTTTAGCTACATATAAAATAGTTTTATTGATATAACTTAATATTAACAAAATTTAGCCTCCCTAGGGCAGTGTCACTTTGGCCACCTTCCGAGTCGCCTCACACACTTATCAAAACTTTCACTTTTCAAAACTTTTTTCAAAATCCTTTTTCGGTATCGCGGCCAACTACATAGTTGAGATATCCTTGATCTCGACCACGATCTGAAATCTCCTCCCATTCAATAGTGATTTTAACCTTGGGAAAACTCATAAGACGCAAGTAACCAATTCTGATTTTCAGGTAACTAACAACCCTGGGTTATTTATTATTTTGGGGGAACAAAATTATTAGATGCGACGTGAAGAACGAGCAATCGAGTTTATTGAAAACAGCTGGATATTTTCCAAACGGTTTCCAAATCTTCAATTTCTCGCGTCGGTGATTTCCTTTGATTGCATCCAAAACGCGTTCAACATTTTCGGATGTTTTGCTTTGATGAAAACCTTCCAGAATATAAATCATTTTCAACGGATAAGTTAAAGCGTCGATATGAAAGTTTTGTCCCGGTTTCGTTCAGTGAATCATCCCTGAAATCCTTCAAATAGTTTCGATAATTAATGTTTCAGTTTCAATCAAAACTCGATGCATATTATTTGTAAATACTACAGACCCGTACATCAAGTGCGTCTTATTGCTAAACGAATAAACCCACAAGAGAATTTCTCTTAATGCATATGCAGTTATGCATCTTCTAATTAGTTTCCAAGGTGCACAGCAGATTCTCTCCCGACCACGTATATTGTCGGAAGGCAAACAGCTATATTTATATATATATATTTTTCCCACATTCACAGAAGACCGAAATGTTTTTATTCATATCGATTCAATAAGTGATTGTTTTTGAAACCCACAAAATCACAAAACAGCAAATTTTAATTCCGCCTAACTATAACATTTTATTTAAACTCTTCTATTTTCTTTAATTTTCACTATTCTTTAAATGAATTTCTGACATTAATCTTCAACTTTCAAATATGTACGTCGAAGTTGGGTTGTGCGGAAGACCTGAACGATACAAAAGAAACTAAATTAGATTCAATGCAATCAAAATATCGAAATTCTGTACACTATATAGAAAACATAAGAGCATAGAAATCTGTGACAGAGAATATATCTTCTGGATATAAACAGGGAATTACATTCCTTCAGCTCTGTTTAAGCCAGTAACCGTTGTACCGAACAATAATTTGCGTCAATTAATTCTGCTGGCCTGTTGGGCCATCTTTCTGTTGAAGTATTTCTCAGCATCCAACATGGAGAATTCTTTTCTTGGATTTTTTTCTCTTCCTATTTTTCCTCCATGCTTTTACGAATACTTAATGATGAATTTGAACTTTCATTAAAAATATGTTTAAAATGACAATAAATACTTTCAAGTGTCCTCACTGTACCGAAATTTTAATAATACAGTGTAACCCGGATGTAAGAGAGTTGTCGGGACCGGAGAAGAAGTCTCTTATATCCGGGTTTCTCTTATATCCGGGTTTTGTCTATTTTATATGCATTAACACAGGCTCTAATTTGGGACCAGAGAAGATCTCTCTTATATCCGGGTTTCTCTTATATCCGGGTTACACTGTATTAATAATCTTTTTTTTTTATATATAACTATTCATGGCCCGATTATGCATAACTAGGGAAGATATTGCTGAAACAAAATCTCCTCTATTTAAAATAAGAATATTTATTTGCTAATGCACTCTGGGAAAAAGAAACGGTTCTAAGTAAAGGCGATTCATATTATAAACGTTCTGTAAAAATGGAACACACACAAGCACACACACACACACACACACGCATATATATATATGTGTGTGTGTGTGTGTGTGTATTGATGTAATAGGAAAGAATAGTTAGAATAATAATCCAAAGTTCTTTAGTATTTATGTTTTTATTTTTAAAAACAGTGCTTGATACAGAAGTAGAGCTTAAATTATAATTATTTAAAAAAAAATATGATTCCATTGCGACACAGAAATTACTATGCTTCGAAATTTGACTCAAGTCCTAAAGTTTAATTTTAATATTAAACTTAAAATTTAGAGTACAGTTTCATTCTCAAGTGATGTTTAGAATAACTAACTGAAGAAATACTTTACTCATTTATAGGTTGGAAATGGAGGTGTAATCTGTTGTTTTTGTTTTTTGTTTTTTCTTTCGTTATCAAGAGGTCACTACCGTGATGAAAGTATGAATGTTTATTAGATGTCAAATTTTTGGAGTCGTGTAATGTTTGGTTGGGGGATTTTTGTCTGGCTACAATGGCCTTTTTTCCCAGACTCTGTTTTTTTTTATTTGTTAAAACTTACTGACTGATATTCTAGTTACAGACTTTTTGGTGTTAATTTATTTGTTTTTTCGTTGAAAGGGGTGCTTAAATATGACTGGGTTGTATTTTTAAATTGTCTGAAATTTATTTAATTTGCTAATAGAATTTATATGATATTGTGGATTTTTTTTTCTATTTATAAGTTACTAATTTTTTAAGACGTATATTTGGTGGTGTATGCTAAAAACCATTATTTCATTTCTTTGATTTAATAAATTTTTGTTTTTTAGAAACTTGATAAAGTGTAGTTTTTCATGTAGGTATAAAGGGCATGGGTCATCCCAGGTTCTACAAGTTCTTGTTCTATTTATTATTCTCCATTTTTCTCTTGGTGTTTTAGTTGTTCCTTTTAAATGCCAAAAATATTTAGATTGGGATGTTTGGTTTCGGTTTCTAATATTATTGAAGGAACTTGGGTGTTGTCTTCACCTCATTTTAAGTTCATTTCTTGGGGATCCTATATATATATATATATATATATATCTTTTTCATATTTGGATTCTCAGTGGATGAGATTGTGCATTGGTGTAATACGGATTCTATGCGGCATTTTTTATTCAAAGGGCAATTTTCAGGGTTTCTACAATTACATAATTTTTCATTATTATTGTCTAATTTCATTTTACGATCTTTATTTATTTGATTTTGTCATGCGCATTTTTTCAATTTTTTGTTATTATGTTCCTTTATAATCCTTTCTAAATTTTCAATACAGCTGTAACTTTATTTTGGGGTGTTTTTATTAAAAAATCTGGCTAAGTTTACTGTTATTAGGAAAATGTTTTTCGATTGAAGCTAGAAATTTTTGTCCTAGCTTATTACTAACCATTTTGTTGAACGGAATGGAGTGGTGTACCAAATGATTTATCTTTTTCTGTTTTTCTTTTGGTTTGTACTGTTATTTTTTATATAATTGATGTTAGGGTGTTTGTAGCCATTATCTTTTAGAGCTTGGTTGTAAAAATTATTATGTTTCTAGAATATTTCTTCATTTGCGGAATTTCTATTAATTCTTTTCTCAATTAATGAAAGTATGTGCTTAATTATATATATATATATATATATATATATATATATATATATATATATATATATATATATATATATATATATATATATATATATATAATATATATATATTACATAAAGCGAGTTGTACAGAATGACAAACGCAACAGCAGATGCGCATATGGAAACACACAACCTCGCGTGTGTATACATACAGATACACACATAGACACACAGACATACGCACACACGAAGAGGCGTTCAATTGTTTGTAAACGCTGTACCATCTTTTAACTTTAACAGTCTTAAACTAGGAGCAAATGTAAAACACATGTTTCTTAATGCTTGTACCTTGGAAGTTCGTTACAGTCATGGTGCAGCACACGTATCATTACTTACGAAAGAGGGCATGCTTGGTTGTGTTACATCACACTCATTACACACGCAAGCCATGCCCTGCTATTTTCTGGGATTACCATGACACACGCATTCGTTTAACTCTGACACACGTAAATTCAAATATAATCGCATACAGAAGTGTTCCCAGTTTTAATAGCGGAAATGCGTGTATATACGCAC